GTTTAAGACAGGTGGAAAACCTCAGGAGGATTCAGTGATCTGATAGTCATGAAAGCTAAGAAAAGAATAAATGACAAGCTCTAAATTTCTGCTATGGCATATGAACACAGAGACAATCCCTCCTCTACTATCCCTGGAAGACCTACTAGATTTCAAAATGTAGAACACTTTGAATTTTAGAAAGGTGAAATGATTTATATACCCTATATTATATTGTTGTTGTTGTGAAGTACCTTCGAGTCAGTTTCGACCCATAGTGACCCTGTATAGGGTTTCCAAGGAGCAGCTGGTAAGATTGAACCACCAACTTTGCAGTGCCGACAGCTTTGCAGTCTGGTACAGCAACCCACAGCGCCACCCCAGGACTCCACTATACCCTATATTAGAGAGTCCTGGTATGGTACTGTGGGCTAATGCATCAGACTTTAAAGTCATTTGAACTGGAAGGTCTGTGGTTCAAGCTCACCAGCTGCTCCTTGGAAACCCTATATAGGGTCGCTATGGGTCGGAATCGACTCAACAACACTTAACAACAACATATTACAGAGCACATACATACACCTCTCCCACAGTGTCTGGGTCAGTATCCTGTAATCAAACAGGACTGTTTCTGCTTCAAGATATATCAATAGTCCAAACAAGAGGTTTAATGAGATAAACAGTTTCCTGGCAGTTCACTCGGCTTTTGCACCAAAGGAGTCCAAGTCATATTACCAAATGTAGTACTCTCTGGTATAGGAGTCCTATTGTGGCACTGTGGGTTTATGTGGTGACAAAAAAATACTTTTTGTCAGCAGAGGCCTGTATTTTGTTTTGTTTTCATGTTAGAATTGCACCCAAGAAATGGTAAAGCTACAGTAATATCTAAAGACATATTATCTAAAGAATACAAAAATGAAACAGGGTGGCTTTTCATTGTTTTAATGGACAAAAGGTTTAGACATTTCAGTTGTTTATGATAAATTTAAAATATCCAGTAAGCAATGAGATAGATGGAGAAACTAGTTGGGACAGTTTGAAATGGAAATGATTATAGGGAAAATGTGTATCAGGAAGTTGTTATAAAGTGCCTTGGAGTGGGTTCCAACCAACAGCAATCCTATATATGGTTTCCAAGGAGCAGCTGGTGAGCTTGAACCAACAACTATTCAGTTCAAACCAACTCTGCAGTCCACCACATTAACCCACAGTGCCACAATAGGATTCCTACACCAGATAGTACTACATACTATTTAGTACCAAAAATCTGAAACTAACTCAGAATAGAACTCAAGATTTCATCTAATTGTCAACAGATACTAATGTCCTAGAATTCAGAGTCCTACTCTGTTTTTTCTCTGCCACATGTTAATGCACTTTGTTCTTTTGCCATTGTCTGGCACTGATTTGAACTAAATAATGTCATTGATGTTTCTGGTGTGGTACTGGACCACAAGGCTGGTTTGCACTGCAAGGTAGGTGGTTCAAACTCAGCAAGTGCTCCTTAGAAACCCTATAGTGGGTTGCTAAGAGTCAGAACCAACTCGACAGCATATGCTTTGTATTCAAACTACCGACACAGACCCATTTTTCTGACACTAACTAAGTGCATAATAGGACAACTGAAAATACTTCCCTCCCAAACAGATTATTATATCCATAAAAGATCTGTGATTCCAAATATATGTTTATACTTTATAGACCAGAGAACTGAATCTATAGAAAAACGATGTGGGCATTGGTGGTTTCCAACCCAGTATTTATTTTAAGAGGAAACTACCTCCTATCAGGAATATGAAAGCAATTTAAAAGTGATGGAAGCTTTAATAATCCAATCAGACTGCTAAGGCTCTATCCCCTCTGGTCACTTAATGGGGTATTTTGCTTATTTCATTAAATCTCCTTACTACACAGGCAGGTCTGACATAAATGTGTCAGTGCACAGGCTTACTGTGGTTGGTAGTGATAGGGTTTGTGCCACTGAGTCAGGTCCGACTCATCACAACCCATACAAGATTTCCGAAGCTGTAAATATCTTTACAGGAGCAGAAAGCCTCATCTTTCTCCTGGGGAGCGACTGGTAGATTTAAACTACCGACTTTAAAGTTAACAGTCCAGCTCCTAATCCACTATGCCATCAAGGCTCCTTATAGATACACTGTTGTTGTATTGTGCCTCCATCAAGTCAGTTCCAACTCAAAGTAGAGGGTTTTGAAGGAGCAGCTGGTGGGTTTGAACTGCGGATCATGCAGTTTCCATTTCAGTGCTGATCCTTCAGAGCCATACCAGGAGTTCATACGCATACTTGCTGTTGTTGTTGTTAAGTACTGTGGTTTCCGAGGAGCAGCTAGTGGGTTTGAACTGCTGACTTTGTGGTCTGCAGTCTAGTGCTTACCCCACAAAGCCACACCAGGAGTGCATACATATACTTGAGTATACTTAACAGAATGCATTTCTTACTGAAGAGTGCAGTCAAAAAAAAAGGGTTTGGAAAAATACTAGTATTGAGGGAGAGTGCTTGCTTGCCAACCAAACATCTAGGGTATTGCAAATAGATGGATGTCCCTGGCATGCTACTACTTAAAATCTACATTTAAGCCAACACAATAGAAGATCACAAGACTCAATTATGTTGCGCATATTGACTTAAAAAACTGATTGTGGCTTGAAATACCAAGAAAGGGTTAAGAAAACCTTCAATCTACTATAAGGTCTTCAACCCAGAAGGGATTCGATAAAAGGGAGTCCAGAATCATCTGCATTTAGTAGGAATAGTGAGGTAAATCAGAGCTGAACTAAGAACAGCTGACTATTCTGCAACTGCAAAGATCTTAAAAACCATAAAAAAAGAGAGAATGATAAATATCTTGTGATAAAAGAAAATGTAGATGTGAAAAGTAAGATAACTTAAGTCAAGTTATTCACTGGAATAATAATGGCATCTCTAACACTAAATTCCTGGGCCAAGGAAGTTAAAAATCTGTCTTGGCTTCAACATAGCAGAATCTACATAGGGTGACTGGATCTCTGAAAAATGGGGGGCTCAGAATGCTCTAGGTATAGTGTGATTCCTGATTGTTTTAAAACTTACGAGAAAAGACATAGAAAAGCGAAGTATTTTTTCGCTTATTTTACAGATACATCAACCAAGGCACCCTCATTGTATTTCTCTCTAGATATAACAATAAAATAGTCTCATAATTTCTTGCCCGATAACCAATGGAGATTAAATTAATATTCCAGATTCAGGGAGCAACACCTACGTCGAATTTTTAAATAGTATTTAGCACATTGATTTCTCTGTATGGTGACAAGTTAAGAGGGCAAGCAAGACTCTTGAAAAAAACAGAAAAGCACTAGTTGAAAATAAAATTAACAATTACGTCCTATTATGCTGTGGTTGGGTTTTTAATTGCATCTTTTTAACTGTATGTGTTGCCAAGGGCACTTTAGTTAAATGCACTTTTTTTTTTTTTAATTAGCAAAGATTGAACTAAATAAATCTAAGCAATATAATTACTATTAGAAAATTTATGTAAAAGTATTGGTTATGGCAATATAAAAAGAAAGATGGTAGACACAAAAGTCTAATTTTATATACAAAGCAGACTTCAGATATGAAAATGTTAAATGTAAAGAAATCTAATTACAGGGTATGGCTTTAATCTCTTGTATTTTAGCCACGAAGAAAAATTTATACATTAAAATAAGCCACAGATTTTCCTATAACCAGAAATTCTCAAATTAAGATGCAGGAAATTTCTGATTTTTAAACAGAATTTATTTAAACTTAAATGACTATCTTCATTATGTAGTGCAACTTGTATAAGTGTTATTAGTTTAGCAACGTTTTCTAAAGATTAGAAACATTGGTAATTTGATGTGGTTCTAAAAACAGAGATAGTTCTTTGAGAATTTAGAGAAGGAAATAAAAGACGAAGGTAAATACCAGTTTCACCCTCAAATCTTAAGCTCTAATTAGGTAGGGAGAGATTATTTGGGCCTGGCACACCCAGGTTCAGACGTGGCAGGATCCTGAAACAAAGTTTTTTTGAACCTTTGAGTCATATGCCACAGGCAAACCGCAGCCACGATGTCCACGTCCTTAAATCAACAAGGTTGAGGGATCTGGTGGCGCGGTGGCTAAAGCGCTCCTTTGCCACCAGTAACTGAGTGGGAGAAAGATGGGGGCCGTCAGCTTCATAAAAATCCACAGCCTTGGAAATCTACAGGGTCGCTATGGGTCGATGATATTGGTTTTAACAATGAGTATGATATTGGTTTTAACCATGTGTTCGATATTGGTTTTAAGTCAACAGGTCCTTCAACGAGATGGTGTGCGGTTGGTGCGTGGCAGTTGGGATTTTTTTACGCCACGGAAGAAAATAACTCTTCCCCATCAAACCGGAAAGTGGGCGCAGCATTGGTTTACAGAGCGCACCCGGAAAAGTGTAGAGGAGAGACGAAATCGGCAGAGAAAGGGATGTCGTCGTCGTCCCAACCACAGAGTGTTTTCCAAACCGCTCGGAAACCATTAAATGGCTGGGGCGGCCGCGGCTTCCAGCCCGGACTGTCTGGGGTCCGGCTGGGCAAGTCGCCTGGTTTAGCCCTCCCCCGCACGCACATGGGTGGGAGGCGACCGGCAACCTGTTAGCTGGAGTGGACACAAACGCTGCCGCCTCGCGCCTGGCCCACTGCCTTCAGCCCCCACGTCTGCGACCCTCCCAAAGACGAGTCCCGGGCCACCAGGGCTTCGGCCCGGTCCGGCTCTTCTGGCGCCTTCCTGCAGGGACCGAGAAGGGGCACCGAGGGCAAGAGGGGCGCCAGAGCGACCCCCGACTCCCGGCGCCCCTTCTACCTCTTTCTCAGAAGGGTAACTGGAACTGCTCTCGAGACCGTCTCCAACCGGCCACCAAAACCCTCGTCCTCTCCCCACACCTGAACCTCCGCGGCTCTCTCAACACCCCCTCTGAGTCTGTCCTGGGAGTTACCGATCCCCCGCTCCCGACTCGCCAGTTTACCTGGCAGGTGGGCAGGGCAGGAAGGCAGGAAGCGGCGGCCGAGCAGGCGCTGGACGTGGGCCGGGCGCCAGGTGCAGGTGGCGGCGGCAGCGGCTCCAGTTGCTGTCGCTACAGTTGCTTTCAGTCGAGCTCCTCCTCTGTTGCCTCCTGCCTTCCCGCTGGGCCTCCCGCGTTGCCAGGAGAGGCCGAACCGAGGCTCCGCTTCCTCTTAGAGTCTCCCAGGTGAGCTTCAGTCTACGACGTCGGCAAGGGCGAGGCCCCGCGCCTGCGCGCCAGCCTTTTGCCCCGCCCAAACCCTACCTGAGTGCTCCAGGTGAGAACTGGAACCTCGTGAAGCGGAGGGGGCAGAAGGGCGCCGACCAGACCACGAACACCAGCCACGCGGATTCTCTTCGCAATCCTGGGGACTAGTTCTCCGCACGAGTCTGCCTCCTTGTCCATCTACATTTCAGGAGTCCCTCACTGATCTGGTGGCAGTAGTCACCTTGTAATCAGAACACACAGGTCAGGATCCTCTGGGAACCAGATCTAAATTTTCTCTCTACACTTTTTACTGTACTCTTCAGTTAGCCAAAATGAAGAGGTGAGCTTCCTGCAAAGTGAGGGGGTTCAATGCCTCCGAGGACCACTTCATGACAGCAGCCAAGTGTCAGCTCCTGTGGTTTCCTCGGGTAGAGTTCAGCAGCTCCTGTCACCAGTTAGGTTCCTGAGCTGTTGGGTGAGCTTCCTTTTCATGCAGTCTTGGTTTCATCACTTGACTCACTTCAGCGCAGCTTAGTGGTTTCCGTTTCTGTAAGCAGGCGCTTTGGTAGGGGCGCCTCACGTCCAAAGGAGGGGCCTCCCTTTTCTAAAGAAGAGCCTCTGGTATTTGGCAGAGCCTCGTCAATTTGGGGCGCTCCCCTTGCTGTGTTACTATCTAAAGGCAAACCAATTCCCAAGTAGAAAGAAAGCAGCAACAACCCAGAAAAACCCGCTGTCCTTGTTTAGAAAGAGACTGTGGTTTCCTGGAGAAACCTAGTTTCATACTGTAGATCTGCTTACAAGCTCAAAATCTGTTCTAAAAGGTGAGAACTCAGATGATGGATTTTACTGTTTTTTTAAGACAAAACATTGTTAAACCACCTTTGTTTCCTTTTATGATATTTACAATACAACTTTCTGTTTCAGCCTTACTTCTGCTGGCTTGACAAACATTGTCACACCCTAAGCCAGGACTGAACATGACCTTTATAACTTCCTTTGGATTCATTCGTTTATTATTTGGCTATATCTCCAGCATACACAGGGTTATGTATAAAGAAATAGCTGAAAACTTTTTCTTAGTGGAGAGCTTAACTATCCGGTGGCAGGATGTTTTATAAAGCTTAGCTTTGGTCTCCCCCTGCGTTTTTGACACACACTCATATAAACCCACTGCCATTGAGTGAGTTCTGACTCATGGCAGTATTTGTTGTTGTTATTAAGTGCTAATCGTCGATTCCGACTCATAGCAGTCAGCTCGTGGGTTTGAACTGCTAACATTCGGTTAGTAGTCCAGCGCTTACTGTACTGCACCAACCCAGGACTCCACAGCAGTACTAACTTACCTACGTGTTAATGTTCTTTGTGACCTAAAGCTAAGGTTTAACTTTAGTCTCTGGCTAGTCTAAGACATTGGTTTTAGTATCCATACTATTTGGTCTAAAACTTTATAGTTAGTTATTAATTTGGGTATTTTGCAAGCATCAAGGAACCTCTTTGTGTTGTATGATATTTTAATATCAGCACCGTGAAGCCAGTTTTAAGCTTCTCCCCTTCTTCCCAAAAGTATCAATATATTAATGTATATTGCTGGTGTGGCGCTGTGGGTTAATGCGCTCCACTGCAAAGTTGCTTTGAACTTCAAGGTTGGTGATCAAGCTCACCAGCCACTCCTTGGAAACCCAAACAGGTTGACGGCACTTAATAACAACAACCACCGTACTAATTTAGGTCCAGAGTTGATAACACTAACTTCCAAAGTTCCCTCTTTTTGGAAGTTCTGCAACTTTCTTTGCTGTATTAATTTAAAAGTAGGTTAGAGTAGTAGTCTTTGGGAATTTAAAAGAAATCCTAGATGTATAACCAAGAAATCTGAATCCCTTGTATTCCACCACCCATTCCTGAATGATGCAGAAACCAAAGACTCTAAGAAAGTTGGTTTCCCACCAAGTGAAGATCTAAAATCTCTGCTAATAACCAGTATAGAGCGGATGGATATAGAATAGCAAGACAAGTAAAGGTAAATAACAACTGAAAAGAGAAGCTACAACAGATCTATAAAAAGAAAGAGCCAGCTAAGAGGACCAAAATGCTACATGAGGAGTGAAGAAAATTATAGAACAAAATATAAAAATTAACAACATACTAAAAATTAACTTGTCAATTTTACAATGGAAAGAGATCATTTAAACTAGGGAAGTGATATTTTAGAGTCTGGCATTCCTACCAACATTAGCTCTGGTAGTGTAGTGGTTACGAATTGGGATGCAAACCTGAAGTTCAACAGTTCAAAACTACTAGCTACTCCGCAGGAGAAAAATGAAGCTTTGTGCTCCCGTAAAGATTTACAGCCCCGGGAACCCTGAACAGGGTTGCTATGAGTCAGAACCGACTCCAGGGCACATAACCACCACCACCATCATTCTGATAGCAAATACTTACAATTAATGATTTTTTTTTTCTATTTTACAATATAATTTACATGCTTCAAGCCTAGGAAAAATATATACAGAAATGTTTAGTGTCCTAAATTTAATTAGCTGGAGGGTTGTTGTTTTTTAAGTACTGTCCTATGCAAAATTATGAAATAAGGAATTTGCTTTATAAAGGGAAAATTAGCATTTCATCATAAAATAAAATCCAACACCTTGAATGTAGAAATTACCTTAGTTTAATAGTATATGTTCAGTATATAATGGAAGTTAAGACAGAAAATAGACCAGATTACCGGAAAAGAACAGAGGCAAACATGTCTACTTGCTGTTGTTAAATGCAGTCAAGTCAGTTCCAACTCATAGTGACCCTATATAGGGTTTCCATGAAGCAACTGGTGAACCGCTAACCTTGCAGTTCAAACCGACCTTTCTTATCCTATAGCGCAACAATAGGACTCATATAGATAGATAGATAGATAGATAGATAGATAGAGAGAGAGAGAGAGAGAGAGAGAGAGAAAACCATAGGAATGGCCACAAAATACTCATTTATATAGACATGAAACAGTACTATTATCCTGTTAACAAATAAATGCCAAGAACCAACGGGACACTTACTAGGTGCCCAATGAATATTTGCTAAATGAATGAATAAATCAATAAAATACTATTAAAAATAATTAATGACTCAATATGCATATTGTTTTGAACAAATAACAGGACCAAAGAATGTTTAACCAAACAATCTGGAGAAATTATTTAAAGCGTGTAAGAATAATGGATCAGGTAATCTGAAGGACATGGTTGAAATGGCGCTGTGGGTTAATGCGCTGGACTGCAAGGTCAGTTTGAACTGCACGTTCGGTGGTTCAAGCTTACCAGCTGCTCCTCAGAAACCCTATACAGGGCTGATATAAGTCGGAACTGACTTTATGGCACTCACCAACAACAAGAACTAATTTTCATGTACAGGCGTGGCACATTTTATTGAGCTCCACAGATACTGTGTTTTTCGCAAAGTGAAGATTTGTGGTAACACTCCACTGAAAAAGTTATTGGCACCATTTTTCCAACTGCATGTACTCAGTGTCTATGTTGCATTTCAGTATTTCTCACATGATTTCAAACGTTTTCATAATGCTATCACACACTGAATAGGCAATTTGTTGTTGTTAAGTGCCTCTGAGTTAGTTCTGACTACTAACAATCCTGTTTCTGAGGAGCAGCTGGTGGGTTAAACCTCCAACATTTCAGTTAGCAGTTCAGTGCTTATCTTACAGTGCCACACCTAAATAGGCAATAGTAGTAGTAGTGGTATGGCACAGTTCCGACTCACAGTGACCCACAGTGACCCTATATAGGATTTCCTAGGCTGTAAATCTTTATGGGAGCAGAAAGCCTCATCTTTCTCCTGTGGAGTGATTGGTAGATTCGAACTGCTGACATTGCAGTTAACAGCCCAACTCATAATCCACTAAGCTACCAAGGTTTAGACAATGGTGGTTATGTGCCTTGGAGTCAGTTCCGACTCATAGCAACCCTGTATAGGATTTCCGAGGCTGTAAGTCCTTACGGGAGCAGAAAGCCTCATCTTTCTCCTGTGGAACCTCTGGTAGTTTTGAACTACTAACCTTGAGGTTAGCAGCCTGACTCATAACTAGTAGGTTACCAGAGCTCCTGGCTTTAGACAATAGTATAGTCTGGCCATTTGAACTGCAAGGTCTGTGGTTCAAGCTCACCAGCTGCTCCTCAGAAACCCGATACAGGGTCACTATGGGTCGGAATTGACTCGACAGCACTTAACAACAACAACATAGTGTAAATATAGGTGCTATGTTTACACTATGAATTGACAATAGTATCGTGTAAACATCTATATGCATTGGCTAAACCAAAAAAATAAATATAATCCATGTGAATTGTTCTATGGTGCTATTTGCTTTGTTGCAGTAGTCTGGCACTGAGCTAGCAGTATCTCTGAGATATTCCAGTGTATATGTTGTGTAGGACTATGCAAAGCAATATATACTCATACAAATTGCTTTACCTCTCTCGTCTTAAGTTTTTTCTCCCACAAAACAAAGTAACCTCTAACTTCTTTTACACTGTGACAAGAGTATTGTCATACAAAAAAACAAAACATCATTTGTAAAAAGAACAGTAATTCACAGAAAACCAAAATGGAGAAATTAACATTACTTAGCTGACATGAAATTTCTAATCCATAAAATTGTATTGTAATATTGTGCAGATTCTCTTAACCCAACTTTAAACAGTTTTAGTTTTCTAATTGTTTAACTGCTGGCTACCGAGGTCTTGGAGTCCTGGTGTGATGCTGTGGGCTAATGCATCAGACTGCAAAGTTGTTTGAACTGCAAGGTCAGTGATTCAAGCTCACCAGCTGCTCCTCGGAAACCCTGTGCAGGGTCAGGGTCGCTATGGGTCAGAATCAACTCAACGGCACTTAACAACAACAACAGCACACAGGTCTTAGCAATTTTCGTTTGAAACATATCACCTAATTTCGCTTTAAAAGACATTTTTGCCTCATATGGGAACCAGTATCTAGAGTTAGGATTTCTAAGTCAAACTAA